GTCAAACATTGTTTGACCTAACCAATAAATATAACCGGCGTGAAAGTGGTAAACGTGTTGTTGTTAATCGTGTTTCATCATACAAAATAAACTAATTGGGTAAGTCAAATAGAGATTAAACATAAATTACGTACGCAGGAAAATAACATAATTCTGTATTAGGTAAGGTACATGACCTTTCTTTCCATTTCTTTTATGATCTTATAATTCAGTGTCAAGGTTACAATTTCCTGAGTTTAAATAAATTGGATCGTAACGGTACATATATGTGATTGGATTTTATCATGAAAATGTAACAAAAGAAAGCAGCTAGAGGTCGATTCTCACTATACGTTCCGTTCAACTCCATCTCCTTTCCGTTTACATAAATTATTATCCGAAGTAAATGAATGTACATAATATTCACATCAAGTTACACTTTACTGCAATTTGCAAATAAAGACAAGATTCTTTTAACTGTGTTTTAAACTGGCCGAGGGCCATTAATAGGCGAGTCTTCTCGAACAGACAAGATATTCAAAATATTTGCTGTAATTGCTCAAATTAATTGTTTCAAAATGTAGGAACCCCAGTAGGAATATCAACATTAAAATTATCGATTAGTAAAGATTAAATCGTTCATAAGCGAATCGTAGGTAAATAAACAATTATTAGGCAGTTAACTTTAAATGCAACAGTAAATAGTTTACTTTTGTGTGAAAGTAACCATTTTATTTTCTTTGTGTATCTTATTTTGGCCTTTCGTCTTCAGTGTTACAACAACTATAGAACCACATCGACAACAACTGCTACCTAGATATAACTATCCTCGACCATCGATCATGCCAAAAGATTAGGTACCATTTAATCAGTAAAAGGCGTAGAAATCAGCTGATAAAGTTGGAGGTAGACCAAATTTCCAGAAGTGATAAGGAGAGACAAGACAATACAACAATAACTTTAAATACACCTACATCTGAAAACCAATATTGTGACAACCCAGAGAACAGCTCTTATGATGTGGAACCTCCTCGGGAACCTCTTATTAAAGAAGAATGTACTGTAGCTGTGCATGATGGTGTTGATTATGATGGACATGCTTCCTTGTCAGATTCAGATTTGTCCGAGGGCAGTTTACATCCATCTGCGAATGAATTTGTTACAACTTCATGTCCCAATGATGAAAATTTGAGAAAAGAATTGTCTGAATTTGTAATTCAATGTAATGTTACACACGCAACTGCAAATAAATTATTGCATATATTGAGGCGCCACGGACACGATTTACCTTCGGATGTTAGAACATTATTGCGAACTCCAAGAGCTACGACATGTAATTATTTGACCAAATTAGCTTGTGGAGGACTGTACGCTCATCTAGGACTGGCCAGTGGAATCCAGTACTCATTAAGAAGATTTTTTATAGATATACCAAAAATAATTAAAATTGACATCAACGTTGACGGCTTACCTTTGTGTAAAAGTTCATCAAATCAATTTTGGCCTATTTTAGGTTCAATAGTGGCAGACTTTTATACTAAGCCGTTTGTGATTGGCGTCTACTTTGAAAAAAAAAACCGGCAGATGCAAATGAGTATCTTAAACCCTTTGTTGAGGATTATTTACAAGTGTCAACAAACGGTTTAACAATGAATGGGGTACAAGTAAATGTAAAATTAAATGCTATAATATGTGATGCTCCTGCTAAGGCCTTTGTATGTGGTATAAAAGGCCATTCTGGATACTTTGGTTGTGGTAAATGCACCCAAGAAGGCGATTTCATTCAAAACAGGGTGGTGTTTCCTGAAGTGAACAATCCACTGAGAATGGACACTACATTTAAACGCAAAACCCAACCTGAACATCACATACGAGAGTCATGCTTAGAAAAATTAGGCTTGGAATGGTTTCACAGGTGCCACTTGATTATATGCATCTAGTGTGCCTCGGTGTAACAAAACGTCTTCTGCAATTTTGGGTTAAAGGTCGAGCCAATATTAGATTAAAAGAAGTGGACTTAATTTCCGAATCTTTTGTTAATATGAAAAAATCTATAACTGTTACGCCCCCTCGCACCCACACACAAACACGGGGTACGCCAAGTGCGCCACCCCACGCCAAACGTAGCAACCCCGCTAAAGTAACAGGTGCACGCGCACATGTTCCTACCCCATCTACAGACGCCCCCGCACGCGCTACAAGAAGCGGCCGACAGAGAGCACTGTAAGGAACGCCAACCCTCACAACACTAGCCACCCCAGTATAACCGTCATCAAGAAACTTCTCATCGGCAAGAAGAGCAACAGGCTACACAGTTGGGTTTACTCTTTAACTAATACCTGGGTCTCTGCCTTCATAAGCCATCGACGTTGCACATCTTTCCGTAAGATTGCCACGGTAACGATTGGTAGTAAGGGAGAGACTGCTCCTCAGACGTGATCGCGGTATCGTGTGTTTCCTTGTGTTTTACGAACTTATAAACTTCTTTAGTGTTGTAGGTGTATATATTTCATTAGTGTTAAGTAGTGTTACGTGTATATAATAAAACTCTAACCGCTAGCCTAAATTCGAATTATTAATCACCGACCCAACCCCACCAACATAACTAAGGAATTTGCCAGGTTACCTAGAACTCTTTTAGAAGTAGATAATTGGAAGGCTACTGAATTTCGCCAATTTTTACTATATTCTGGACCAATTCTCTTGCTAAATAGATTACCTAATATTTATTACGAACATTTTGTTTCTTTAAGTGTTGCCTTAAGAATCTTAATTGATTCAGAATTATGTTTTAAGTTAAACAAATACGCAGAATCCCTACTAGTGTGGTTCGTTAAATTCTATGGAGATTTATATGGAGAAGAGTTTCTGTCATATAATGTACACAATTTAATACATTTAGCTGCAGACGTTAAAGAACTGGGATCACTTGACAAATTTAGTGCGTTTAAGTTTGAAAACTTTATGCAAGAAATTAAACATAAATTGCAAAACTCGGGTAACTATTTGCAACAATTTGTAAATAGGTTACGTGAAGAAATGTGTCTTTCTGTAACTTATGAGAACTCTAAGAAGTATCCTATTATTTTTTACTGTAAAAATAATGTACAAATAGTTGATTATATTCAGTTTGATGGGTTTACTATTTCTAAATCTAAATATGATAATTGCATTTTATTACATAATGGTATGTATGGTATTGTAAATGACATTACTGTAATTGACAATAACTGTGAATTATGTATAAATCGGTTTAGTAAATCCGAACCATTTTTTAGCTTACCCTGTGATTCTCGAAAACATGGAATTGCTATCATAGATTTAAAAGAAATTCAAAAAGTAACAATTTCAGTAAAAAGCATTAAAAGGAAATGTATAATGTTCGATTACTCTAAATATAAATATGTTTTTTTGCCATTGTTACATTCTGATTAGATCACTTAAATTTTATTTCACTTTTATTTGTTTGAGAGAAATTGGAAAATCCTTATCAGCTATTTTTGATCATCCAGTACATACTTTTACGTTTACATTATACGAATGTTATATGATTTCTCTTATATTTGTGATTGTCATCTCTTAACTAATCAATACCAGTCATAAATATTGACAAACATTATCATAATGCGAACCACATTGTTTTTAAGAATTGAAAATGGCCTATGCAGTTGTATCATTCACGAGAACGGACGATGTAGAAGAAGAAGACTGCACTACCTCGGAAATTCCAATGGCATGGTTATTTGAAAATAACACCAAATGTTGGTGGCCGTCACATAGCAAAAATGTAGGATCACTAATTTCTAGAAATGTATCACCAAATATACAAAAGTGGAGTATTGAGCATGATATAGTTGTGGAGGCAGTGGGTGGTAATAATATGACAGCATTTTTTACATAAGTAAACAGTACAGTAAATAGGCTAGGAGAGTTCTAGGCCACTTTTGGTCGAAATCCCATGTTATTTCTTATGGGAATTTCTAAGGTTCATTTGGGTGTTTTTGGAGCAGTTTGGATGTGCGCATGCGCGCCCCGCCCCTTTGCGCAGGCGTCTGCGCAGGCGTCATTTGGACGCCATCTTGGAATCCTCAAGTTCTTGGAATCCTCAAGTTCTTGGACGCCATCTTGGAATCCTCAAGTTCTTGGACGCCATCTTGGAATCCTCAAACTTCGACCCCTTCGTACCCTGAAATTTTTTTTAAATGGAACGGATTCGAACCGTCAACCATAGGATTACAAGTCCTATAGCATAACCACTGAGCTAATTAGACTATTATGGTATATTGCTTGGATAGTTGTATTTATATCGAAACTCCTGAAAATTTTTTTTAAATGGAACGGATTCGAACCGTCAACCATTGGATTACAAGTCCTATAGCATAACCATTGAGCTAATTAGACTATTATGGTATAATGCTTGGATAGTTGTATTTATAACGAACCTATTTTAATGGTACGGAGGCGCCATCTATTGGCGTTGTAATGCATATAGAGGTATATTTTCAACCGGCTCCCTCTATTAGATTGATGCGACATATAGGTATAGGGTAGGAAATTGTAATTTCAGGAGACAGGTGCGAGGTCCATCATTCTAACCTATAACCAGAACAGGGGTGGGTAGGTAAACAACAAAAACAAAATGTAGAGTGTTTTTATTTAGATCTGAAATATCGATTTGAAGTTTATTATTATAATTAAAGCGCTTACTTACATAAAATTTGTGGCGAAGAGAGCCTCGACGTCAGCAACGCCCATTTTAATGACCGCATTGTTATTCATAATTGGAAATCCCCCGCTCCGTTCTACACATAGGTATATATAATTAAAACGTAATACATGGTGGTTTTATACCTCGCTGGGTTTATCCCGCCGAAAATAATAGTAGTTTCTTGTTCTACAAATATACGGTTAAAACGTATAGTAATATACATGCAGGTTTACCTCGACTCCTCGCAAAAATGATTGCACATTTCTCGATCTAAAATAATAACTATTAAGTTGCGAAAGCAATAACAGAACAGAGTTCGCAGATGTCATTATTCTAATAATTGGTATGGAAAGTTTCAATCTTGCGATAGTGTTTATTTATAGCAGCGCGTGCTCGCGAATTTGATATGGTACTTTATCCCATTTCATTTCCATATCGACACCTATATACGGGTTTATTGTGTATGAATGCGTAAAGTGCGAAAATTCGTGCATCCGCAATCCGATTTCAATAAGTGTGTATGTGGATATATAGACAGGTGGCTGCTTATATACATCAGGTAAGCCCTTTTTCAATTTTTGGTTGCTTATAATTTACTTTTCTTAGGGATACGTGTCCATGCGCGCATAATTTGCAGTTTAATGAAAAGCGTGACATTTTATTGTATTTATTCAGCGATTATTTTATATGGGCGTTTATAAGTAATAAGCTGACAGCAGAAAACATAGTCTACATCAGAGTTGGACCGTAAGTATCAAAATTATTTTGTAATAAAAAGCCTACATTGATATCTTTTTTAGCCGATATCAAACCTCAATGGAGGATTGCCTTCATCATCATCATGGTTAAACGGTCGCAAGCGCCGTAGCTTTATTATTATAATACCTATATAATATCTTAGATTTATTGATGGGAAGTAGGTAGAGGATAATGCCGTTGCGATAAATAAGATAACATTGTGAATATTATGTATTACACCAACTTTAGCTATATCTATATTAAGAAAAGGCTTATCATATAACCTTCATATCAATTACAGCTATTAAGAAAAGTTTCGTATGGGGCTAAATCAATATTTTTCTTGAATCAAAGTTTATGTGCCGATAATACCTGTGATAAGGCAAGCTTCTTAAATCAAATTGATACACTTGGGGGCAGCACCTTCATAATACGTGTAAGCATACGATTTAAAACAGATGTGTTATTAATTCCTGCAATCAAAGTGCTAGGATATAAATTTTTATTACTCTAGTTAGAATAGTGCTGTTATATAAACTCTCACAAATTTTGTTAATTTTTCTTGGATTTAAGTTTATATGGTGATAATACCCGTGCTAAGGCAGGCTTCTTAATCCCGAACAGGATAGAGATGGACGTTGGGTGGGAGGAGGTGCCTCAAGACTTGTTTACGGGAGAAAGGAAGCTAACTTTATGTACTGTTAATATCTATGATACGACACGCTTCTTAAATCAAATTGATACACTTTGAGCAGTACCTTCATAATACGTGTAAGCGTACGATTTAAAACAGATGTGTTATTAATTCTAGCAATCAAAGTTATAGGATATAAATTTTTTATAGCTCGAGTTAATGTAATGCTATAGATTTCGCTGCTGTTTAAAGTTTAACAAGTTTTCGCAATTTTTCTTGGGAACTAAGTTTATGTGCTGATAATATCTGTGATAAGGCAAGCTTCTTAATTCCAAACTAGGATAGAGATGCTTCTGGCGCCTTAAGACTTTTTACGAGAGAAAGGATAACACCGTATAGCATTATGGATAAATACCTAACCACTGCATCTTATTATTTTAGGTAAGAGCTTAGAACACGGATACAATCATAATCTATGCAGTGGGGCGGATAAGAAAAACAGAACAAAATTTAACAGGTTTATTAATTCTAGAAAAAAAAAAATTCATTGAAGTATACATTATAATTGAAATGATAACACTTACATAGAACACCCAATAGGTGTGCTGGAGTTCCAGGTCTTTATAGACCTGGAACCTCTTTCCCCGGAAGAGGGCCTCCTCCACTTTTATGGAGCCGGGGATTGCTCCCCGACCCCGTAAAATCGCAACATGTTCCTAAATAAGAGCTAATTAAAATACGGTATATGATGCATGAAAAGTACTTACAGATCCATATTTTTGTATGAGATATGTTCGGAGTTCTCGTTCTACAAATATATATTTAAACGTGTGATAGATATGCGGTGTATTTACCATAGGCCGTCTGCAAAGGCCCGAAGACTATGACCGCACCTTGAGCTGAAAAATTACATACATTAAGTTTGATGAAAAATAGAAAAGAGCTCATTCTTACCCGCCATCCTCGTAACAAATGTCTATCAAACGATTTCTAGGAGGAGTTTTATTTATTGCTATCCATTTAGACAGGAAACCTGCACAGATTGCACAGCTATGTGACAAACGATGTCATAGGAAGCTTGATACAAAGGGGTATGCAGATAAACACGCAATAAAAATTTACATCCTTCACTCATTATATTCAATATCGCCATACCTCTATAGAACGTGATATTATATAGGTAAAACATTTGGTACAGGCCGGTGATAGATTTGTATTATTATCGATCAAAGCACCCTATTAGTTTAGAAAATGCGTACGTTGCGGGGGGGGTTCCCGAAGTCTGAAGACCTTCAAAAATTAGTATGCTCGCAGGTAGTGTATTATTTTAGAAGGAGGTCTACTTTGAAGGTGATACGATAAACTTGAATACATACTTTTCGTTTCATTGACCAATTCCATACACCTTTTGAGTATTACCTCAACCTATTCAAAAGCCGGCTGTTTCACTACATCGACTATCGTTATGCCCTGGAGATGAGTAGATTTTAAATTTTGCTATAACTAAAGTTTAACGATACCTATATTCTATTTACTCACGAGCTGCCGCCATTGATAATTTCGTAAAGCGTAGCTGATGAAATAATTAGCTTAAGATTACGACTCAAGGACACCTATATAGTTGCATTGTTTTAATAGGAAAAGTATAAATTCTTTCTAGAAATTTTGCGGGACATAATAGTTAGACTCGAGGATATATAGGTGCAAGACTAACAGGAAACCGTTAGAACTTGTAGGCGTTTAAGCCAAAGGTGTCATATTGATAACAATAGAACCGAAGAAGCGCGTTATCTATAAAATTGCATTGGATGATGTGACCGCTTTATACTGAATAATACTATAATTTTGATTTTACATAATCAGGTATTTGCGTAAAAGTGCTCGCCCGACAAGTATGCATTTTGTTATTTTGGAAATCAATATTCAGTGTTCCTTCGACGACATAATGTCAAGGGAAATCGATGTACAAGTCTTTAAAACAAGAAACGGATTTACCGAAAGAGCTTGCAATTTATAATGGAAAGCAGATGGCTTACAACGTCAAGCTACCTGGCTAATCCATAACCATCACGGAATTAAATGGGAGCATGGTCATACGCCATCCTACATGTTTCCAATTATACTTCGCCAGTTAATATCATCATCAGACCAAGTATACGTTAAAGGAAAAGAAAAAGCCGATTTCATTCAAAAAAACTCTATCGCAAAATGTCACCGAGGTGGAAGAAGAACCAGCTTTACCTAAATTAGAAGCATGTTGCTACTATCATGTACGCTCACTTTGTTGTTGCGCTTTATCTAACGTTTATTATATTTATAATACTCATGTAATTTAGTCATTTTCTAAATAAAACAACCAAATTCAATCATTTTTACTTTATTGCAATTGATACATCTTAATACGATTACATAATATGGGCTCCAAAACAGCTGCAATGCGTTCTATTTTACATTTGAAGCGGTACCTATCTAATGTGACAGTTTCCCACGGACCCTTTCTTGCTTCTCTGTAAGCATAGGACCAAGCTCGCAAGATATAAATTTTATTTTTTTTGTTTCATTGTGTCAAACCATACAAACGAGTCTGAGAATGAGCTTTTTAAGCAAAACTTGCTATTGTACAGCTCTTTTTTCTTCCTTCTGATTTTCTTCTTCACATTACTCTTTCTTTTATTCCGTTCCACACTTTCCTCTTCATCGCTTATATCTCGATATTACCATTTCTTCAATTCGTTTACATATTCTTCTCATGTACGGAGCTACTTAATTGATATCAGTATTGCTACAGTAAACGACTAACTGTCTCCTTTACGCCTTAAAACTTTCTCGGATGAGCTGTTTTCTACATTTCTTCAGCATCGAAGTGACCCATTATAGGTTCTCCTAATAGATCTTCAAGGTATATAGGATTACCAACCTTTAGCGACTTTAACAGTTTCGTAGATTAATTTGAAGTGTAGTCTCTTGCAAAAATTATCAGCCTCACTATAAATGTTTTCTATACCATTATCTACGGAGAACTTAGCCCTTTGTTACATATACGACCTTAGGTAATCTATATGTAGGGGAAATTTGCAATGTTTTAACCCAAATAGGTCCCGATATTTTCTTTATTATCTCAGGTAAAATATACTGTTCAAACCAGCCAGTCGTATGATCGTATCCAATTTCGTCACTTTCATATTCAAATTTCCCGCCGTTCTTGTTTTCCCAAACAATCTTCACTTTAAGTTTATCAAGAATTTGCGGTATTCTGCGTCGACATCTATCATCTTCACACATATACAGTTCTTTTCTGAATAATCTGCACAACACCTCTTTAATTTCTTTTCGCTCGGTAACGTAGACAGGGACAGGTTGAGGCTTTTTGGGAGGATTTTTAATCGAATCCTCGAGAATTTGCAGCATCATGTTAAAGATTCGTTCTTCTCTCTCGCCATAATTTTCCTGATAGCATTGTTGACAACAAGTTTCAAAGTCATAGTACTTTATCCCCTTTCTGTCTTTTCTTAAAGTACTTCCAACGCGGTATCCTTCTCTCTCGCAGCAAATTTCACATTTTTCCTTTAGCTCAGGTCGACAGTCGCTACAGTTACAAGGTCTTCCCCAATTACACGCTTTAGACATCGTTGAAGGGCTGCTCTTCTCGACAACACAACACCAAATGGTTTCTGTCCTCTGTTCTGAACCCCTTTATGCCTTTACGGAAAAGCGAGCTATGGGAATTAAAAGGATCACACCTCCTTTAGGTCAGTTAGCAAACCCCGCTGGAACAGTTGGCAAAGCCGTTAGATCAGATAGGTAGAGCCCTTGGATCAGTTGAAAAAGCCGTTGGACCGCTTTCGAACTGCTTTGAACCGCTTTCGAACTGCTTTGAACCATCTCTGAACCGCTTTCGAACTGCTTTGAACCGATATTGGATCGCTATGAACCACCTCTGAACCGCTTATGAACTGCTTTGAACCGCCTTTGGACCGCCTCTGAACCGCTTATGAACCGCTTTCGAGCTGTTTTGAACCG